CCATCATGCCTCACCATTGACTATGCTGGCTTGGGCTGATGAGAGTCACATCTAATATCTTGAGGGTCATAGGTTCTGCAGCCCACTGATGGGATGGTAGTGCCTTTAATCAGTATTTTCTCATCATGTGAAAGGTCAACAGTTTAAGGACCATGCCAGAAAGAAACAAAGAAAGATTTCAAGACTATAGTCCTGGGTGTAGATTTAAGCTTTTCCCCACTTTTTCCTCTGAAAAAGGCCTCTATTGATCTATAGAGTTTTTTTTCCTTTTGTAACTCCCCAAGTGGATGGAATTTGGAGCAAAATTTATTTAAAACATTTGTATACTATGCTTAAGGGATGGCATACAAAAGTTTTAAATAAAATAAATTTGGGGGGAAATGGATGAGGGTAAGCTGAAACCCTTCCCTCCTGAAGTGCAATTGCCCTGATCCAGATTCAGATTTGGAGTGGGACTGCATGTGCTTACACCAGAGTAAAGAAAGAAACAGACTCAACAATATCAATGTGATTAGAGCCTGTGTAGACTGTACTTTACAAAAGGCAAGGTATTTGTATTGGGAACAGGCTTGGGACAAGGATACCTGAAGAAATGTCTTTTTCCCTACATGCCCTCCCGCCTCTTAAGATCTGCAGCAGAGGCCCTGCTCTGGGAACCCCCCTGGAAGGAGATTAGGAGACAGAATACCTGGAGGAGGGCTTTCTCTGTGGTGGCGCCCCAGCTGTGGAACACGTTCCCTAGAGAGGTCTGCCTGACGCCATAATTATATGCTTTTCAGTGCCAGGTCAAGACCTTTTTATTTATCCAGTACAGTAAAATCTTGGTTTGCAAGTAACTTGCTCTGTGAGTGTTCCACAAGATGAGCAAACATTTCTAATAAATTTTAACTTGATAAACGAATGATGTCTTGCAATACGAATAGTACATGACGCTTAATGTCACATAATCACAACTGAGCCAGTGGCGCTTTCTCTCTCTCTCTCTCCCTGTGCCAAACATGACATGATCACAACTGAGCCAATGGTTCTTCTCTCTTGCTTGCTGCAGTCCTACAACTCACAGCATCCCTCCAGGAAGGGAAGATATGCTGGGAATTACAGAACTGTTTCCCTGTCTAAACATGCATAGGATTGCACTGGAAGCAGCTTTAAGCTGACAGCATTTCCTTGTAGGTTACTGCAAGGCATACGTCCCTTCTGAAGACAAAGGGGTTGTTTTTATTAGAGTCTTGGGTTGTTTAGTGCTGTACACTGACACTGATTAACTGAAATCAAGTTCCAATGATTTGGTGTATATTTAGTGCTTTGTTGTGAAGATCTGTTTAAAAATCATGTCAGGGCTTAACTGTGGACTTCAAAGCTTATGTGGGAGGAGTACATGATGTATTGTGCAAGCTTAGAATCTTGCATCTGCTTTACCTTTCAGTATCCCCACCACCACTCCCCTGGAGGATGATACTGAAAGGTAAAACAGATACAAGAGGTTATGGAGGAGATCACATCTACAGAGGAGGAGGAGAAAAAGGTGGAGGAATCCCTCACTTCAAATAAGATTAGGGAGATGTGTAAAAAAAGGGGAAACAGTGCAAAATTTTATAGAAAAGCACCACCCAAACAAGGCTGTAGCAGTGTGAGCAATGAATCTGTTTAACAACAATGCAATGGCACATTTCTGTCAAATCATCAAAAGGAGGCAAAAGCAAGTGTCACTGGATAGGTTCCTTGTTGAAGTTGCACGAAAAGAAAAAGATTCCATTGAGCCAATAGATAGCAGTGATTCTGTTAGTGATACTGAAAGTTGTCGAACATAATAACCCTCCTCTCTCTTGTCTCCTTCATGCTAGCCACAAAGGTTTTCAAAGATAAGTGCAGGTTAATTTGTTTTATTTTTCTTTATATTTTGTATTTTCTTTATTATTTTGCATTATATTACAGTATTGTAATTTTTATATGAATATTTTTGTGTTGTGGAACAAATCATCTGAGTTTCCATTATTTCCTGTGAGGAAATTTGCTTTGATATACAAGTGCTTTGGATTACAAGCATGTTTCTGGAACGAATTATGCTCACAAACCAAGGTTTTCCTGTATTTTAAAGTTTAAAAAAATAATTATGTTTTTATTCCTGCCGTGGGTTATTAGTGTTATTACTATTATTATTGTTTGGGATATTAGTATGATATTTGATATATATACCATTGTATTTATTGAATTATTGTTGTAAGCTGTCCAGAGACGTGTAGTGATTGGATGGGTTAGAAATACCCCAAATAAATAAATAAATAAATAAATATTGCAAGCAATAACTTGAGTTATTCTTATCAAGGGAACTGAAGTAAATAAGGCATCTAATCCCAATTCTCAATTTTCTCTGAATGTGAAAAAGCCTGAGGGAGGTGGCAGATGATGTAATTGTCCATGCTAATCAAAAAGCCCTGGTACTTTGGCCTGTGAGTCCTGGCTCCACTGCAACCCTGATTTTATCTTCCAAATATGTGTCTGGAGTTAATGTGGAACATCCCAGACAGCAACCATGTTACTGAGCATTCCTGTGTTCAGAATCAACCTACATCATACAGAAGAGGCAATGGGGATTTTTCCTCAGTTTAAGAACCCAGTGCATTGTCAACAGTTACACAATCAACAGCTATTGAACAATACATTTGAGTTCGTATACTTTTCATTAAAATGTTCTTTAAGTCTGGCTGAAAATTATGATGCTGGAGAGAGAGTGAAAATGCCTCCTATTGGTGGACTAGATTACGACCATTCCATTCATCTGTCCCAGCCACTGCTGATCAATATAAAAATCAATTGTACTTTAACTTTCCTCCTCCCCATTTTAAGAATAGCACTCCTGTCACCAGACCATCACCCAGGAGAGTTCTCTAGGGGAGAAGTTAGGGAGAGAGAAAAATCTTTGCCCCCACCATCTCCCACTTAGTAAGGACTTAAAGATTCCCATCCTCAAAAGATCCACAAAAGCAAGGTTCTGGTGATCCACAAAGTAACAGATAGGTGACAGTGAGACACCAGTCTCTTCCTGAGTGCAGCTCATCATCCTCCTATCTTTGTCCCATATAAAAGACTTTGATTTGCTCAACTCTGGGGTGTGACAGGATGTTTGGATCTGCCAGGATGACAGCAAAAGAACAAACAACAAAACATGGAAGAGGGCGAAAATTCCATTACATAGCTGTAGTCTCATCAGCAGTAAAGAAACTAAATAGTGATATCATAATCCTGTCAGTCACAGAGAGGGCATTTTTTAAATTTCTCTGCAGATCCTGAGTATATTTTCCTGAACATATCAATAGCTGCAGCAACTATTTTTGTCCTTTAACAACTGAATATTATGGGAGTAACATAAAAATCTGAAAGCAAGGAGAAATCCCTATGCACGAGAAGCAGAAATTGCACAAGAGGTGAATATAGAGTGAATTACCTGTCATACAAATATTAATAAAATATGAAACTGGGTAGGAAGACCTGCTGGCAGCCCTATATATTTTGCACTCAACTTAGAAAGGATGTAGTTGGAGCTGGCCCAAGAACACATTTGCCACAACAAGTTTCATATCTCCCACACTGTCTTAGAGTAGGTTCTTTCAAAAAGGAAGGAATTACACACATGCAGGGTTTCTGATCCTAAGTGCTAAAAATAAGTAAGTTGCCACCCACCTCCTTTTGCTATTAGGGCATGGAGGATGTTGCTTTTAATGACTGATCAACAGGCAGAATAAAATGGTATTGCTAGATCTTCATGCTCAGAAAGGAAATCATCTTCTAATTACTCTCAGTTGTGTGGCTATGTAAGGAGGCTAGGACCCAGAAAAACTAACAGACAGCTAGTAACCCTTCCAAGTCATCTTTTGTAATACAGTATTATTGTTATGATTAAAGAAAGGGGAGAGCAGCTGTACTTATACAGTATGTAAGAAAACTGTGAAGAACTGAATCATAGGATAAGGACTATGCATACATACTTGGGTGTAAGGATGTTTTCACATGTTTCCTTTTCCTAATAATCTGGAGGCACTGTGCAGCTATTCTGATTTTCCATGATAAGAAACATGGTGGAAAATGTGGTTGGATGGCTGCAAATGGGAGCTGAGATAATCAGGACTGCATGTACAATTCTGTTGGTAAGGCAAGGGTGATGAAGTGAAAAAGCTGCCTCTGGAAGCATTCTGGATCCACTTAACTCAGTGGGTTTTCAGAATGAACATGCTTAACATTACAGTAGAAGGGACAGGAGTATAGGATTCTAGCCAATATATGTATAAAAGTGAATTCACCATCTCAAACTTTGGACTATAATCCATATGCATTGATTATCAAAGAACAAGATTGTCTCCCTTGAGAGATGTGTATTGTAGAAAATATGTTTAAAATTTGTTCATTTACAGAATGTATACACTGCCCTGTACTAGCAATACTCATCAGTGGTAAGAGGAAAAAAAAGTCAGAATACAAATATAATTTTAAAATCACGTTATAGCAACACTTGATTGTATGATCACATTAATCTTGATGCTATATATTTAATTAATTTATATTTCCTTCACTTTCTTCCAAGTTCACTTTCCATGCTGGACGTCCACATGGTGGGCATGTTGTGAGCAGAGCTGGCTGGTGCCGGAGGTCAGACTAGATGGCCCGGGAGGTCCCTTCTGACTTGCTCTGTTTCTATGTTTCTAAGTTGTTGTAAGAATCTTTCCAGGTATAACTTGATTATAGTTTAAGGAAATGGAAGAAATCCCAAGAATCTTGTCAATTTGTTGTTGTTTTGCTTCGTAACTTTCTTTTCGGGGTGTTCTTTTCGCCCCTTAGGCCCGATTGTAACCAGTTTTCCATGCTGATTGGATTTTGTGTTTACATATTTGTGGGCTTCCGTAGAAACCCGTATTATTTTGGCTCCCTTTTCTTTGTTGGCATCCTTCAGTCGACAGCCGACGAGAGAGGCTGGCCGACTGAAGGCGGAGTCAGCCGGGCCACTCTCTTTTCCGTCGGCCGCCTCTTCTTTGGCAGCCGCAGCCGGGAATAGAGGGCCGAAGCAAGGCTTCGCAGCGCGCTGCTGGGCCGAGGTAAAGGGAGAGAAACAGGGTCCGGCGCGTGGTTCCAGGCCGAGCCGAGGCGGAAGGAGTCCAGCCCCTCCGACAGGCAGCCGCCGCTGCTATGGCTGGCTGGACGCGGAGAAGGTTGCTTTGCCGCTGCGATGACAGCTGTCGCTTGTGGAAAGGGAAAGGGAAAGGGGGCGGGTTGAAGCTTTTTGCCAGATGGGTCTCTAACATGGGGATGGGTAGGGGAGAAAGTGATTCTTCGGCGGGGACGGGGAAGAGAGAAACTGCGATAATTTCTTCGTTATTATAGCCGGTACGGACGACATCTGTTTTGAGGCTTTCTATTAAGGAAGCCTTCCTCGTGACTTTTTCCCCGCCACCTTCCGATATTTTCTGCTTCTCTTCCCCCATTTTTGTGAGGGGAAAATTAACATGCCTCGGTTGCTCTTAGTCTTGAAGAGCCTCATGTCTGTTTGTTCCTTCATTTCATCTGTGGGTGCACGCTCTTCCCCCGGCCTCTGAAAATGCAGGAAAGGACCATGTTCCTCTATGCAGGAAATGGGAAAATGCCTCCCATAAATTTTTTGGGGTTGAGACACTCTGAAGCCCTTAACTTAGTATTGTACAAAAATAATTTGCAGCATGGTGAAGAGTTGCATAGAATTAACCTACCCCTGTAATGCCGAAGAGTAGTGGTTGGATGTGCCTACTTTTTTCTGACCTAGAGGTTACTTTTGTAAGTTTCAATTCTTTTAATCTTTGCTAATAAGAAATCCAACAGGTGAAGTGCTTCTGCTAGTAGATGTAATTGTTGGATTTCCGCTTGCCCTGTTACTCATGAAGGCAATGGAACCTCAGTCATACAGCAATCCACAGAGACATCTGTGAATGAGATGGAAAGCATAAACATGGGGGACAGTGGTGAGAAACAATGTGAAGAAGATATTCTGAGTGTATGTGGGGGAGTTGGGGGCTCTCTCACTGTGCTGTTCCATTTTTACTCATTTTTGCATCATACTCTCACTTGGCACTCTTTCCCCTGTTTTCTGAGCACATCCTATAATGGGAAAAGTCTTTTGGAGAATTGGATATGAGTTAAAATGGCTTGTAACTTCACCTCTTAAAATCTCTTCTAGTGGTCTGTTATTTGCCTTTCCTTTTGGGAGATGGTGCTCATCAGCATGGGTAAAAGTGTGTGAGCTGCGTTTCAACACTTGGTTAGGTTTTTCTTTTTTGGATATTCCTGTTCTTGTTGTTGCATCCTGATTTCTGGAGTCATAGGATCATAGAATAGTAGCATTGAAAGGGGCCAAAAAGGTCATTGGGTTCAACCCCCTGTTGTTACAGGTCACCAACCATCCCTCTCAGTGGGTGATGTTGAACTTTGCTCAGCTGGCTTGCAAATGCTGGGTGCTGAAGTACTCATGCTTGTGTGAACTTGTTTGCTTTTTAAAATATATGTTCTTTAAAGTGCCATTTCTAATATTTCTTCTTAGGGTAGTTGTGAAGTCACAAATTGGCATTCAAATGGTAAAAAGTCTCACATAATTTCATGTAACATGGTCAAAATAGCACCACTAATGTCTTCTATTTTTAGTTCCTGGCAGTTCCTGTTACTTGTCCCTTCTTATGAGATAGGTAATAGGCTGAAGAAAATCTGCAGGGTTTTCTTTGGTTTTTATTGTGTGTGCTAAGCTCAGGTGCTAGTACTGTTGAAGCACTGAATTAGAAAGGGATTATGTAGCCTAGTTGATAGATGAGGTAGATATTTTGTTTTGTTAAGAACAAATTATTATAATGATTATTGCTATTATTATTTTGACCTTTTTTCCACTTGCAAGAAACCCAAAGCTGATCCTTCTCTCAGTGTTACCCTCACAACAACCCTGTGAAGTAAGTTAGGCTGAGAGTCAGTGACTGGCCCAGTGACCCAGTGTGCATCATGACCAAGCAGGGACTAGAACCTGGATCACCTGAATCCAGTTCTCTAACTACTGCACCACACTAAAGCTTTACATTCTGGTTTGCATTTTTTAGACATTGGAACAATAATAATCAGTATGTATTTAGATTCTAAGCAATATGCATATTAGGAAAAATTGTAAAATGAAAGATGCAACAATGCAAACAGGTGGTATCTCAATTTTAAAATATTTCCATCCTTATTTTAAGAGGCTGTACAAATGCAATTCCTTCAGTGTTACTTGAGTTTCATAGCTTTTATCTTCAGGATTTCCAGTAAATGAAGTCCCAAACACTTTAATTTCCTTGTGCTTAGGAATGGAGCTTAAGAATTCATAAAGAGGAGTATGATTTATCTTGGGAAATCAATGAAGATTCAAGGCATTACCACAAGTTATAAATTCAGATGAAACTTTGCACAATCCTATGGTTCCAACTTTTTGCTTTTCTGGAAGTGTTTGTTGTCTTTTAACAGTAGTGGAACAAGCTGTTTCATGGTTTGCAGACCAGTTGAGGGGGAAATCTACCGCTGATTTTCCTCTTGTCAACAACCTATTAAAAACACAAAGCCCTATTTTTAAAAAAATCATACATGATATTGCTAAATCTGGAGAGTAGTCATAATGATCACAAATTTCATTGTGCAGAAGAGTTGTAAGTTGCTTTGGCTGATTTGTGTTTACTAGGCTTGTTCAGGAAATACAAAGTTAAAGTATATCACATTTTTTTAATGTCTCTTTGTCTAAGCTAATTGTTGGAAGTGTAATGTTGCTACAGTTTCCTTTAATAATATAATAATCTAAGGTTTCCTTTAATAATAATAGGTGGTTGAGGCCCCATCTGTAAGGGTGTTCAAGGATAGGCTAGACATGGACATGGTGGGCATGTCGTGCACGGAGTTGGTTGGAGTCAGGGGTCAGACTAGATGGACCAGGAGACCCCTTCTGACTCGCTCTTTTTCTATGTTTTTATGTTTTGACAAGTTCAGATGTTTTCCCTTTTGAGGATAAGATTATAGTATAGATAAAATTTGTGTTGAAACACTCTTTAATATTTCTTCAAACACACCTTTTAAATTATCTATTTCATGGCAGCTAACACATGGTCAACATAAATGAATTGTCCACATTTATTGTCAACCCAAAAAGCTAATTTTACAATATTGGAAGAATAACAGTTCTTTTGCTACAAGGCAATGGACTGAGGACCCTAACCACATTTTCAGCATTTGAATGGATGGCATAAAAATACTACTTTCAAGTGGATACATGCATAAATATTTGGTGTCCCTTGATGAAGCTTATATATAATTAATATTTATAGTCAAATCTGTATGGTTATTTTTTCTTTTTATATTTTCATTTTGTTGAAATTTATTTATTATTTATTTATTTAAAACATTTTTATGCCGCCCCCATTGCAACAAAGCCTCGGGGCGGCTTACAACAAAAACAAAGTTATACAAAAACAAAGTTATACCATAAAAATATTAAAACCCAGTGCATCTCGTTATAGTACTTTTAAAAATAAAGCTATCCTGTTTCATTTGGGTACTGTGGGTGACAACACTGACCTGTAGTCAGTTTTGAAGTAAGATTCAGGTATTAGTGCAGGAGGTTCCTACATGTGGAATGTATGGAGGAGGAAAATCTTTCCTTTTGCATCTGGCAGCAACATTTCTTGGGCCATTTCTGAGAATCAGAACATGGAGAAATGCTTAAGTTCGACCTCCTGCCCACCAGTTCTCTCCTGCAGTGCACTTCTGACACACATGGAAAGCACAGAGTTAGACCCTTGTGTTTTTTCTCATAACATTTAGTGCTGCTCTGGATAAAGTTGAATTGATATGCCTTTTTAGTGTACCATTTCAGTCATTTATAAATATATTGCAAAACAAGAAAGCATCTTGTTTGACACCTTCAAGACAAATACATTAACTCCGGGTTAAGTTTTTGTGGACACTGTTCTCTTAATCATCTGTTAACCTTATATTGGCAGATCTGTATACACATGCTGTGGGGTACAGGGAGTGAGAGAGAGACCATGTGTTCAGTTGAAATTGAAAGTGGAAAAGTACAAATTAATTATTGGCTGAGTTTGCACAGCAAGCAACCATTGGGTCTTACTATTAGTCCTTATGAGGGTTGGCTTGAACCCAGATGACACAACCCATTGTGGGTCAAGCCCTGAAAAAAAAGTGAGTTGCTTGGCAAGAACAACAAAATCCATTTGCCACTCTTGCAAAGCAGCTAACCAGAGAGCATGGCTAGGGGTTGCCTCCGAAGTTCATCGGCATTTGGAGATGACTGCCAGAGCGTCCCTGACGTCTGCTCTGTGCTGCCACCCCTTGTTCAGGCAGGAGCGCCGAGTGGAGAGGGCAGCCCCACATGCAACTTGAGTCATCTTCCTTTGAGCAAAAGGTGGGACTTCTGCATGCTACTTCCCTGTAGTCAGGGCAGTGGAGCAGTGAGTTCATCCTGCTTTCATTTGGGCAGCAGAATGGATCTACCCTTCCTGGTTTTGGCTGCTAGGGATGGTAACCAAAGAAGAATCTGCCTCCCCAGCTTCCTCCCCTCTTCAGAGATAGCTGTGATCCAACAGAGGCTGGCTTGGGAGTCATCGGACCAACCTAACCAAGGCCAAGTTTTTGTCAGTCCCAATACCTATTTAAACTATTAATTGTTGGTTAAAAAGGCAGCCCTGAGGCAGTCTACTGAATTCTTGCATTTTTATTCACAGGAATAGAAAAAATGGATTCAGCAGAAAGGGCAATGAATAAAAGTGAACAAAAATCAAGGTGATAAAACTTTTTAAAATGTTGTACTATTTGAGGATTATTATTAGAAGATTTTATATAGTATTGCAAAGATACAATGTATTTTTCAATTATATCTTTACAGCACTTTTGTGTGATTTACTCTTGTTGCTGTTTTAGAAATGCCAAGGTACATTTTATAGCAGTTTGCTTCGATTACAAAAATGTTCCTTAAGAATAAGTGTATAGCTAGATGAGGCACAGTGGTTTCTTCCACATTAAAACTCTTTAATACTTCTTTGGCATTGCCTATCTGCAAGTAGCTAGAAGTAGGATTAAAATGGCAGTTTGCCACAATGCCTAACATAACTATTATATCTAGCTAAAATTTCTGATTGGCAATATCTTTCTATAATGTTTACTCAGTCATGTTCAGCAGAGGCCCAGTTTTAATTAGGATCAATCTTCTCCAACCTGGTGTCCACCATACGGTTTAAATTAAAATTTGCTTCATTCTCAACCATTGGATATGCTGGGCAGGGCTGAGAGAAGTGGTTATACCACATCATTTGGGGTTGGAGCCAGATTTAGCTGCAAGCAACTCAGCTGCTAGAAGCAAACTTCTACACTTCCTCCACATGGCAGCCCCTCCAGTTCCCTCAAAAAAATGCTACACAGAGGGTCAAAGGACTCAGTTGCATAGAGTAAGATGTGGCATTGTGGGAATGGAGATCCCTCAATATTAAGTTTATGGAAAGTAGATCCTGGATCTAACCCTTGATGGACATCAGGTTAAGGAAAGATTTCAAAGTTTCTCATTTAATCTGTAATGTCAGTTCCAGTGAGGGGTTGTAACTTCTTATTTAAAAATAAAAGTTTATTATTATTCTAATAGGCAATTAAACAACTACATAATTGAGAAGATCAAAATAGACTGTTTGACTTCTGTTCCCTAGGAAATTTCTAAAGAGCCTTATATGGAAGCAGCCCTGGGAACTCTTGCTAGTAATTGGAACAGGCGTGAGTGCTGCTGTAGCACCAGGTATCCCAGCACTGTGCTCCTGGCGGAGCTGTATTGAAGCAGTCATTGAAGCAGCTGACCAGCTGGAGGTGCTTCATCCTGGAGATGTGGCTGAATTCCGCAAAAAAGTGGCTAAAGACAGAGATTTACTTGTGGTTGCGCATGACCTAATCCGGAAGATGTCACCGGTGAGCAATTATCTGTTTCTCTATAATAATACTTAACAAAACATGTAGCTTCTTTGTCAGTTAAGATATACTTGTATTCTAGCATTCTGTTGGAGAGCTCCTCCATGTCTACTGAAGATTGTTATGCTGTGAATTTGTGCAATTATTGTTTCATAAGTGGTCTCATTTAAAAAAAGTGCAGCAAGCAATGACTCAGACATATTGCAAGGTTTTGTGAGTGCAGGTTTTGCATACGTTCTGGAATGCTAAAGCCCAGATCACTGCCCAGTTCAATTTCACAGCTGGGTTCAGCTGTGCAATTAATATTATAATATTGAATATAATGTTATATATAATATAAACAATGTTTTGCAAATAGTAATTTAGTAGAAGGATGTCTGCAGAAAACACTATACTTTTGAAGGATATTTGAGAGCTGGTTCTGTAGGGTGGGTGGTTTTTTAAATTTATACTGCAATCCTGTACCCGATTTTCAGGAGTAGAGAATCATAGAATCATACCATTAGAAGGAGCCTAGCAGGCCATCAGATCCAAGCACTTGCTCAGTGCAGGACTCAGGTTTCCAATCCAAATTTCAACTAGGTCCAGCCTTGCTTAGCTTCCAAGATTAGGCAGGATCAGGCACATTCTGGCCTCAAGTAAGACCCACTAAATGTAATGGGACCTACTATTGAACGGACTTATAAATGATTGCTGCAAGCTGCAGAGAATGGACAGTCCTGCATTTATGAACTGTCACTTTGTTGTTGCAGTCTTGGAGGGCCATGTGCACTTTTTTTCCTTTTTTTAGTTTTGTTTTAAATAAGGAAGAGGGACAGAGGACAGAATTTAGCTCCTTGAACAGTTATAAATTATTTTTCATTTATAGGGATAAATATAATAAAACTCACTAAAATCTAATCTCCATTAGTGTAACTTGATTAACTAGGAAATACCGAGTGCATTTTATCCAGAAGTTTCTTCAGCAGTCTCAATAGTCAACATTCCATGTAGGAAATTCCATTTAAAATCAACCTAGTTTGCACAATTGTATGTCGATCATGGTTTTCTGAAATGTTGTAGTCTCCATGCATATTGAAATGAATTTATAGCCGTTCTTTCATATTACTAGAGGCAGAACCTGAAAATTTGTTCATTAAATTAGCATTAAATATATGCTTCCCTTGCCAAGGCCTATGAGTGGGTGGTGACCAACAGGCTCCAGTCACTCTTAGATGAGACTGACTTTCTGTATCCATTTCAGTTGGTCTTCAAACCAGGACTCCTCATGGAAACAGCTTTGGTCACCCTGTATGACAACCTCTCTCAGGGGAGAGACAAGGGAAGTGTGACCCTGTTGATATTCCTGGGTTTGTTAGCAGCTTTGGTACCATTGACCATAGTATGCTTCTGGGGTAGCTGACTGAGCTAAGGCAGGAAGGTAGTGCATTGTAGTGGTTTTGCCCCTACTGATTGTGAGCCATCCCAAGATTCCATGCCTCACTGAAGAAGAACCTAATGCTGGGAACAATTGAGGGCAAAAGAAGAAGGGGACGGCAGAGAATGAGGTGGCTAGATAGAGTCACTGATGCAATCGGCATTAGCTTAAGTGGACTCCAGGGGACGGTGGAGGAAAGGAAGGCCTGGAGGAATGTTGTCCATGGGGTCACGATGGGTCGGACACAACTTCGCAACTAGCAATAACAACAACAACAGTAGTAAAAGTTTTAAATAAATAAATATTTGGATGGCTTGTTCCATTTGGGGAATATTGCTTGGCCTAATAGGTTCTCCAGAATGGGATTTCTCAGAGGTCAGTTTCATTCCCCTTTCTCTTGAACATCTACATGAAACCACTGAGTGGCCTCATCTGGAGTTTTGGAATGCATTGCCATCAGTTTACTGATGACACGCAGCTCTATTTCTCCTTTTCATCTCCAGCAGGTGAGGCTGTGGATATGCTAAATTGGTGCCTGACTGCGAGAATGGACTGGCTGAGGGCTAATAAACCGAAGCTCAGTCCAGACACACCTGAGATGCTGTTAGTGGATAGTTCTTCTTTCCGGATGGAGGGTGTTCCTGTTCTGGATGGGTGGCACTCCCCCTGAAGGAGCACGTTTGTAGCTTGGGGGTCTTCCAGGAGAGGGTCCTGATTGTCACAATCTCAGGTGGCACAGAGTGCCTTTTACCAGCTTTGGGCAGTAGCCCGGATACACCTGCCTGGACAGGGATAGCCTGGCTTCAGTAATCCATGCTCTTTTAATTTCTGAATTAGATTTGTAATGCACTCTGTGTGGGGCTGACCTTGTAGACAGTTCAGAAGCTGGAGGATGTAGAAAATGTGGTAGCCAGAGTAGTAACTGGGAGTGGAGGGTAGGCTTGGCAGGTGGTAGCAAGTGGGAGGCCTTTTCCGTGGTGACCTCCTTATTGTGGAATGATCTCCCCACTGAGGAGATCCCTACTCCCCTGACACCAGTTCTGTTTTAAATTTTGTATATGGAAATTTTATGCTGTTTTTATTGTATTGTGATTTGTATTTTTAATTATTTTTGTTAACAGCTCAGAGAGCTTCAGCTGTTGGGCGATACAGAACTGAAATAAATAAAAAAGTGCTGCTTATGACCTATAAAACTCTATGAGGTTTGAGGCCAGGCTACTTTCTCCCATATGAGCTTGCCCAATTCTTAAGACCTTTGCAAGAGGCTCTTATTTTGAGACTCCAGCATTCAGATGCATGGGCCTTTTTGGTGGCTGCTCCTAAGCTATGAAAATTGCTGCTAAGGGAGGCTTGGTTTGCTCACTCTCTGCTGTCCTTTTGCCAGCAAGAAAATAACTTTTTATTTAAGCAGGCCTTTGGTATATAAGCAGATCTCTTGGGTTGGGTGCTTTTCTATTCTGTAATTGTTATTTTTTAGGATGGCTACTTTAGGTGCATGTAGCATGGCAATAACGGTTTTCTGCTTTCTTTGTTTAGCAGGGAGCAGTGTGGTTTGGCTTGCCGGTCAGCTGGTGGCCTTCTCTTTATTGTCCACAGAAAGACACTCTGTGTTTAGTGTCTTAATGTGTAACCTTCTGATAACCTTCTTCAAATCATTCTCTCTCTTGCACATAGGCACACATAATTTGGGGCTTTCCCTGTCCCCGTAACCCAAATCACTGAAACAGTCTGTTTTTGTTTACTGGAGCTCAGACCTATTCTATCCATGTAGCAAAACAAGGCGGGGGCAGACCACACTGCATGGTGGATGGGCTGCAAGTTGTGGAGAGCTTATGCTGTATACTTTGGTGGTTCCATCATTCAGTGCCTCATACTGCTAAAGGCCCTTAGTTAATTCCTGTCTCTTTGACATTCTTCTTTTTCTGCCCCAGCGCACAGGAGATGCCAAACCCAACTTTTTCCAGGACTGTTTGATGGAGGTTTTTGATAACTTGGAGCAACATATTCAAAATCCTGTTCTTCTGCAGTCAATCCTCCGACTCATGGAAAGAGGCACAATGGTGTTGACCACAAACTATGACAACTTACTTGAAATCTTTGGCCAGCAACAGAATAAACCTATGGAATCTCTTGACTTGAAAGATAAGGACAAGGTATGACTAATAAATACACTTTTGGAAGCTGTCTATTTCCACTCTATTTACAGAATGTCAAATGTTTAATGCTAGTAACAGAAGGGCACAGTATCCCAGACACTTCTGCAATGAATGGAAGTGGCATGATAAATCCATTCCAATGTGACTTGTATGGGAAGTAGTGGTGATTGGATTGTGTTCAAGAATGTGTTTCTTTTGTTTTGAATACTGTGTTTCTATGATAGTGGGTGGAAAATTCTTCATGTTCAAAATATTCCTTAGATGGTGTTCTTCATAATACAAAAGGCTTGTTTAAACAAATGATTATACATGGTTTTATTTTCAGCTATGTGGTTTTCTGCATTTTTCTACTACAGTAATTTTTAACCGCCCTTTTATAGTTTGAGGGCACACATCATTTAAAAAATCTTATTCTATTAATGGTTTTTGCAGTTGGGATTGACTGGGTTTGCAAGATATGGCAACATATCATGCATAGCTAGACACCGCGGGTTACTGTCATTTGAACCAGAATCCTTGCTAAAGTTCTCACTGCCTACCTTTTCCACAGTTCCATGAGCCTCTAGATTCCCTGGAAAAGAAATATCTCACCTCTTTTTTCTGCACAGTTTTGATACCTGTCTAAAGAAGGTGTTCTTAACTCCCCCCGCCCAACCCCCCCGCAACTGATCTAGTAAATTTGAGCTCTTTTTTTGGGATGGGGGGCAGGGAAATATGATGTGCATGAAATCTGTTGTGGAAACTTGCCTATTATTGTGTTTGTGTCTTGCCTGTACGCTCCTCATAAGCTTTTGGTTGGCAATTGTGGAGACAGAATGCTAGATCAGAAAGGCCTTCTGATCCAGCACAGTTATTACATACATGTCTCTGTTCCTTTGCAGTGAGAGAGGCTTTGAGACAGCTCACTTGATTAGCACCAACAAAATGTTTGTCTTGTAAATACTAAAGATTTGCATTGGTCTGAGCCATTTTCTTCAAAAACAGCCAGAACTAAAGTTGAACTTAGCATGATCCTTCACTGTGGATACTAGTTTCAAAAAATCAGACAGCCTATCTCCACAATAGTCTTTTGTTTTCTTTCCTTGTTTCCTTTGCTTCCATAAGCACTTAGCTTATGGAAAGGAGTTGAGCAACTGACAGACTCACCTTCTGATTATGGGACATGGTTTTCCAAGGGCTCACAAGTCACTGGGAGGGCAGGAATGGCTGTTTTGACAGCTGTCAACAACCATGAAATGGCTGTTTTTCCAGCAGTGCCACTTTCAGTACAAAAAAAGCCTTAAACCTTTCAGATTTCTTACTAGAAACACCTGTATTTTGTATACTATTTTCATAAAAATTGCCCCCCTGGAAAAAAAAAAAACCAAGGAGAGAAAGGAGGAGCATTCCAGAGCAGGTTTTATCTGATTCCACTTGAGGCAGAAGACCTCAAACATTAAACAGGCTTGATAAGCCAGTAGCTGCCTGTGGCATTGAGACTATAGAATAAAAAGTGACTCCGTTGCTACAAAGCAACCAGCTTGTGACCCATGGATTGCTATTTGTGACCTGTGACACTAGTAGCTTGAGGAAACTACTGTGTTTTGCAGTACAAATAAAGATCCATTGATCTGAAAATCAGAGCCTGTTTCACGCCCCAGATAAGTTAAAACAGCTGGTTAAGGGGGCAGAACACATACGGGAATGCCTTACTCCAGAATCTTGTTCTAGACATCAGATTCAGATTCTCTAGAAATCCTTCCTCTAATGGCAGGCCCTCAACAGGTAACAAATAAAACTGTGTGTGTTAGTGTTGGTGTATTGTTTGCAATTTGGGCATTTCCATTCATACTTAGATGATTTTAAAAAAGCCCTGTGGGAAGTGCTAGCACTGTCATCAAAATGAATAAATTCTTCCTAATATTTAGTTATACTAATGAACTGTTTGGCTTTCTTCAGGTTCTTCAGTGGGCAAAAGGACACATCAAATATGGAGTTCTTCATATTCATGGGCTGTATACTGATCCCTGTGGAATGGTGTTGGATCCCTTAGGATATAAAGATGTTACTCAAGATCCTGAGGTGATGGTATGTGCACATTGAGACCAAATAGGTCTTTACTTTCAAGCTATATATAGGGACAATCAGCAATGTTTCAAAAGTACAGTGCAGTTGAAAGGGGCATTAAAATGAATGGATATTGCAGATGGATTATACTTGAGTGCAGTCAGTGGTTGAAAGTATAATGTCCCACAAAATGGCAGATGTATAGCCAAGGATATGCCAAGATAGCCTTTGTTTTGACAGCTGTCAAAAGTAATAATGAAAAGGGGGTGGGATGTAGA